CCTGCCCACAACGCTGAATTGCTATCGGTCCTACAGGATCCTGCCTTGCCTTGTTCTGTGTACAGAGGAGGCAGCAGCTGAGAGATTGAGGCACATAAGGAGGGGAGATGGGCAATTAGATAGTATCTGCTCAACAAGGCTTCTAGAGCCGTCTTCCCTAAATGGGTAAGTTCATGCTGCTGGAGGACTGCTCTATAAGCTAACTGTTCTGGAATGTAGACCCTATGATCTGGGAATATCCACCAACCTTCCTTCGTCCTTTTATCCCCTTTTGTTGGCCCCGTTCTTCATCTTGAGGGGTGTATTTCAGAAGTTCAGGTAATTCAGGAACCCGCATGGTCCACGAAGCTACTGTCCACTCCTTAGCAGATAGCCTTGCCACTGTATCTGCGTGACTGTTTCCTTCTGACACTGAGTCTTTTCCTTTTTAATGTCCTCTACAATGGATGACTGCTACTTCCTTGGGCTCCCAGACTGCTTCTAGTAACTTCAAGATCTCATTCTGATTTTTGATTCAAAAAGCAGTCTGGTAGTCCAAGGGTGAAAAATCAAAATAATGTACAAAATAATAAACAAGAAGAAAAGTAAAAGGCACACCATAAAAATCAATTTATCATAAATGAAGATAGTAACAAAGGAATTTATGAGGAAAGTATTATGTATCATTTAGAAAACAAGAAATGATAGAATAAGTCCTTTCTTAACTGTAATGATTTTAAATGTGAATGCATTACACTTTCCAGTTAAAAGGCTGAGATTGGCAGAATGGGTAAAAATACATGATGTCAGAATGAATTTTTAAAATTCTTCCTCTATGTACTGTCAATAGAGAGTCATTTTAGATCCAAAATTATAAATATGTTGAAAGTAAAAGAATGAAAAGATATTCCATGCAAATAGTAACCAGAATGAGCTGGGTGGCTATACTTCAAACAAAATAGAACTTAAGACAAAAATTGCTATGAGAAACAAAGACATTATCCTATATAATAAAAGGGTAATATTCAAACAGACCCTAACAGCAGAACGACTGGGAATGACTGATCACTATGACACACACTGACCACCAGGGGGCAGACGTTCAATGCAGGAGCTGCCCCCTGGTGGTCTGTGCTCTCCCACAGGGGGAGCTCTGCTCAGCCACAAGCCAGGCTGACGGCTGCCAGCTATCAGTACAGCAGTGGTGGTGGGAGCCTCTCCCGCCTCCTCAGCAGAGCTAAGGATGTCCGACTGCAGCTTAGGCCTACTCCCCGCTGGCAAGTGGACATCCCTCAAGGGCTCCTGGGCTGCCAGAGGGATGTCTGATTGTCAGCTTAGGCCCAATCCCCCGGGGAGCAGGCCTAAAACAGCAGGTGGTCATCCCCCGAGGGGTCCCAGACTGCAAGAGGGCACAGGCCGGGCTGAGGGACCCCCCCCCCCCCGAGTGCACAAATTTTGTGCACCAGGCCGCTAGTATATTGATAAAAGGCTGAAACCATCAAGAAGATATAACAATTATAAATATATATACACCTAAAACCAGAGACCAAAAACTATAGGAAGCCAAACTGAAGGAATAAAAGAAAGATCTATAATAATACTTGGAGACAGTATCCTATTTTCAATAATGGATACAACAACTAGACAGAGGATCAATAATGAAATAGAGGACTTGAACAATACTATAAAGCAACTAAGTCTAACAGACAAATATAAAACACCCCATTCAACAACTGCAGACAAGTCATTTTTCTCAAGTGCACATGCAACATTCTCTGGAATAGAACACATATCAGGCCTCAAAAAAAAACATCAAAAATTTAAAATATTATTATCTTTCAAAGTATCTTCTCCACAATGGAATTAAAGTAGAAATCAATAAAGAAGACTGACAAATTCATAAATATGTGAAAATTAAACACCACACTATTAAACAATCAATGGATCAACTAAGAAATTACAAATGAATTCAAAAAAATATTTTGAGAAGAGCAAAATAAAAACTTAATACCAAAATTTACAGAATGTGGCAAAAACAGTACTCAGAGGAAAGTAGCCTAAATTTAGATTTCAAGAAACTAGAAAAGAAGAACAAACAACTCAAACTAACAAAAGAAAGGAAATGCTAAATATTAAAATGGAAAGAGAGGAAATAGAGAATAGAAAAAATAAAAATATAATGAAGAAGACCAAAAGTAGTTTATTTGAAAAGTCAACAAACTTCATAAATCTTTAACTAGAGTGATTAAGAAAAAAAAAGAGAAGACGCAAATCATTAAATTATAGATGAAATAGGGGGCATTATTACTAACCCTAGAGAAGTTAAAAAAAATTATAAAAAGAATACAGTGAATAATTGTATTACAATAAATCAGATAACATGAACAAAATCAACAAATCCTAGAAACACATAAACTATGAAAAGTGACTCAAGAAGAAATAGAGAATCTGATGAGACTGATAATAAAGATATTGAAACCTCCCAACAAAGAAAGCCCAGAAATGAGGGCTTCACTGGCAAATTCTAACAAACATTTTAAAGAATAATTAACACCATTTTTTCTCCAATTTCTACAAAATAGAAGATAAGGCAATACTTTGTAATTCATTTTGTGAGACCAGGATTATCCATAAACTAAAGCCAGATAATGACATTACAAAAAATGACAAGTATGAACAAATATCACTTATGAATATAGGTGCAAAAATCTTAAACAAAATACTAGCCAACTAAATCCAGTATCATAATATACACCATGACCAGGTGATTTATCTCAGGAATGCAAGAATGGTTTGGCATACAAAAATAAATCAACATAATGCATCACAGTAATAGAATAAAGATTTTAAAAAACACAATAATCTCAATTGATGCAGAAAAAGCATTTAACAAAATATATCACTCTTTCATGCTAAAAGTACTCAACAACCTAATAATACAAAGGAAACTTTCTCACCATAATAAAGGGGATTGATGAAAAACCCACAGCTAACATATTACTCAATCATAAAGGAATGAAAGATTTCCATTTGAGATCAAGAAAAAGAGAGGACTCTGGCCAGGTAGCTCAGTTGGTTGGAGCATCATCCTGATACACCAAGGTTACAGGTTCAATCCCTGGCCAGGACACATACAGAAAGCAACCAATGAATGCATAAATCGATGGAACAATAAGTTTCTCTCTCTCTCTCTCTCTCTCTCTCTCTCTCTCTCTCTCTCTCTCTCATCTTTCTATCTCTCTCTATCTCTCTCTCTGTTTCTCTAAAATCAATCAATAATTTGTTTTAAGTGGAAAGGGATAAAGGGAAAAAAAGGGAAATCTGTAACACTTTCAATGATAAAGATAAATTTAAAAGTAAATAAATAAATAAAATAATAGGTACCTTGCAAAAAAAATGATCTAAAAGTAAAAAAAATAATAATAAATTTAAAAATGGAAAAGAGAGGATGCCTGCTTTTTTTTTCTACTCCCATTCAACATTGTACTGGAAATTCTATCTAGAGCAATTAAGCAAGCAAGAAAGTAAAAGGCGGGGAAAATTGGGAAAAAAGTTATCTCTATTCAAAGATGACATGATCTTATATAGGGAAAATCCTATAGAACTCTTGCACAAAAATGTAGATCTAATAAATGAATTCAGCAAAGTTGCAGAATACAAGATTAACATATGAAAATCAATTATAGCTTTATACACTAATCCTATATAATAAAAGGCTAATATGCAAATCAACCGAACTGTGGAATTGACCGGTCACTATGACATGCACTGACCACCAGGGGGCAGACGCTCAACACAGGAGCTGCCCCTTGGTGGTCAGTGCACTCCCACAGGGGTAGCACCACTCAGCTAGAAGCCTGACTCATGGCTGGCAAGCACAGTGGCCGTGGAGGGAGCCTCTCCCACCTCCACGGCAATGCTAAGGATGTCCAACTGACGTCTTAGTCGGACATCCCCCGAGGGCTCCTGAACTGTGAGAGGGCACAGGCTGGGCTGAGGCACCCCCACCCCCCAGGGACCCCCCCCCCCGAGTGCATGAATTTTGTGCACTGGGACTCTAGTAAGTTATAGTTCTACTAGAGGCCCGGTGCACAGATTTAGGCAGCAGTGGGCCCCTCGGCCTGGCCTAGCAGTCCAATATCCCCCAAGGAGTCCCAGATTGCAAGAGGGCACAGGCCAGGCCGAGGGACCCCACCAATGCACCAATCCATGCATATAAGATCTTTGGTTACTCTCTTCCTGCCCTCCCACATCCCCCCTTCCCCCCTTTCCTCTGAGATTCATCAGTCTATTCCATGTTTCCATGCCTGTGGTTTCTGCTCCTGTGTTGAGTGTCTGCCCCCAGGTGGTCAGTGCACATCATAGCTACTGGCCGGTCAGCTGGTAGCTTAGACTTTTATATATATAGATACACTAATAAGTTAATTAAGAAAACAATTGCATTTATAAGACCATCAAAAATTATCTCAAATAAGAGCATTAGCTATAAAAAGGAATGGAGTACTGGTACATGCTACAAAATGAATGACCCTCAAAAGAGTATGGTAAGTGAAATAAGCCAGACACAAAAGGTCACCTATTTTATTATTTAATTTATATGAAATGTTCAAATTAGCTAAATCCATAGAGACAAAAAAGCAGATTAGAGATTGTCAGAGGATGGGGGAAGGTGGAATGGGGAGTGACTGCTTAATGGGTAGTGGTTTCCGCCGGGAATAATGAAATATTTTGGAACTAGAAAGAGGTGATACTTGCATAATATTATAAATGTACTAAATACTATTGAATTGTACAAATTTATTGATTTTATGTAAATTTTACCTCAATAAAAATAATATATGTAACACTTAAGGTATTATCATCATCATCTTCACTACCACCATTACTATGGAAAATGTTTCCCAAATTTCACTTTCTTTGAAATGCTTAGATTATGAGAGAAAATAAGTAGACTAAAATTTAATACTACAGTTAGTATAATTTGTATAATATGTTCTTGTCTTCTCTCTGTTCTCTTTCAGATTATGTCTGGCCACTCCCTAGACCTTTGTGCCCCGTCTGGATCTCCCTAGATGTTTTATTTTCGACAGCGTCCATCATGCACCTCTGCGCTATATCGCTGGATCGGTATGTAGCAATACGTAATCCTATTGAGCATAGCCGTTTCAATTCGCGGACTAAGGCCATCATGAAGATTGCTATCGTTTGGGCAATATCTATAGGTAAATGACTTTCCTGGCCATTAGAATTGCAAGGGCTATGCTCAATACCTTCGGATTATGTACTGTGAACAACGACAGACGTCGACCGGTAACATTGCGTATAATCGGGATTATTGTTTAATAATTATTCTTAACCTATTTATCTGATATTTAGGTTAACAATAATAGAATAAATGTAATGTGTATGAATATTAAATTAAATTTTTCCATTTATTCTGCTAAATTATTTTATGCATTAATATGCCAATGATTCTACAACACAGAGTCAAAATTTTGAGATGTTTAAAGCAATTTAAAGATGAAAAAGATATGTGACAAATCTAAATTTTAAAAATATAGCATTTAAATGTTGTAAAATATAAAGTTATCCCAGAATATTTTAATTCTATTTTCATATCTTCTTCAGTGGAAATATTAATAGTGCATAAGAATCTTCATGAAGTAAACATGAATTAATTTATGCTGTTGATCAACCTAAAATATATTTGTCCTCCATTTTCAAATATCTTCTTGGAATTTTATTACACAGAAAGAGAAAAAATTCTTAATTTTTTTTAAGATTTGGGGAAGGTTGAAGGAGAGAAATTATCATTTTATTGCTTATAATTTGTGATATTCATGAATGCCTTAAGAATGCTAGTATTCAAGACACAGAATTTAACCAATTGGAATATAGGGGCTTTTATAATCCTCTTGTTTTCTTTTTCTTCTCTTTCTGTTGGAAATTACATTTAGTGTCTCATTAAATAATTTTTTAAAGTTATGTTTCTATAACAGATTCTGGTAATGTTTACAAGATCAAGACCACTATACAATCTTCTCTGATATCATCTAAAGATTTTGACTCTGGGTTTATCCATAAAATAAATTTATTTAACATTTAAGATTATTCCATTCTAGGTGAACACACATACACACACACACACACACACACACACTCTTTTGGACAAAAAAAAAGTAGAACTTACTTATACCACAAAAATGTGAATCTATATACATAGTTTGATCTACATATTCAAGGTTTCACAGATTTTACCTCCTTTACCCTAAAGAACTCAGCTAAAAAGATGCCATTTCTTGTCTTAACCAGTTTGGCTCAATGGATAGAAAGTTGGCCTGCAGACTCAAGGGTCCCAGGTTCGATTCCGGTCAAGGGCATGTACCTTGGTTGCGGGCACATACCCAGTAGGGAGTGTGCAGGAGGCAGCTGATCAATGTTTCTCTCTCATCGTTGTTTCTCTCTATCCCTCTCCCTTCCTCTCTGTAAAAAATCAATAAAATATATTTAAAAATTAATAAAATAAAATAAATAAAATAAAAGGATGCTATTTCTTACGATGCTTACAAATTAGAATATTCAGTAACTAACTGCTTTTTTCTTGCTCCTTTTAAGATTCTTTCTTTGTCCTTAAACTTTTGCATTTTAATTATGATGTATCTTGGTGTGGGCTTCTTTGGGTTGATCTTGTTTTGGACTTTCTGTGCTTCCTAGACTTGTATGTCTATTTCCTTCACCATGTTAGGGAAATTCTCTGTCATTATTTTTTCAAATAGGTTTTCAATTTCTTGCTCTATCTTTTCCTTTTGTGGCACTCCCATGATGTGAATTTTGGTATGCTAGAAGTTGTCCCAGTGACTCCTTATTTAGTTACCTAGAAAGGAGTTCCTATAAGACTGTTAGCTGATTTTTCAGCAGAAATTTTGCAGGCCAGAAGGGATTGGCAAGAAATATTCAAAGTGATGAAAAGCAAGGCCCTACAACCAAATTACTCTACCTATCAAAGCTATCACTTAGATTCAAAGGACAGATAAAGAGCTTCCCAGACAAGAAAAAGCTAAAAGAGTTCATCACCACCAAACCAGTATCATATGAAATGCTAAAGGCTCTTTTTTAAAAAGAAAGGAAGAAAAAAATATATCAAAAATATGAACAATAAAAATGCAATAAATATATATCTATCTATAATTTTATCTAGAAAAATAAGCAAGCAGAACAGAAAGATACATAAATACAGAGAACATTTTGACGATTGCCAGATGAGAGGTGTTTGGGGGGATAAGTGAAAAAGGTGAAGGGATTAAGAAGTATAAATTGGTAATTACAGAATAGTCATGGGGATGTAAAGAGCAGCATAGGGAATATAGTCAATATTTTAATAACTATGTATGGTGTCAGATGAGTGCAAGATTTATAGGATGATCACTCAGTAAGTTATGTAGTGTCTACTCACTGAGGTGTACACCTGAAACTATTATAATAATGTATGTCAGTTGCAATTGAAAAAATAAAAACTGATTTAAAATTTTTACAAAAGTAAAAATAAATTTTAAAAAACATGTTGTATCACCTACAGAACATTAGAATATTAGGGGCATTAGCTTCTAATAACGACTATGCTAAAAACAACTAAAATATGAGAAAAAATACTATAAGCATGTGAAGCTAATAAGAGTGAGGGATCCAGAAAAAGACAGAAAAATGATTATAACTTTTGGGTCATTTTTCCAGTGATGCATTGTGAATCTGAAGCTGCGACCGAAAGGTTTGGAAGCTTGTTTCACAATCTCATAAACAGAGGAAATTATAATAGTAATATAGAGCCTGGCGAGGGTGAACCAACTTGATCTTATTTTTTATATCCCAAATGTCTATACACTAGAAATAAGGATGGTCCAGGATTAAACCACCCTTGTCATAATATTTAGACCTGATTCAAGTCACCTATATAACCAAGAAAAATATTAATCTGGAAATTGGATTACAGTGATTTCATGTTCTTCTTGTTTCCAAATTTTTGGTATAGGTGAAAAAAATCATCTTAGGCTTCAAAGTATTTATTTCAATAATTTTTCAATTCCAATAACTGGAATAAATAATAAGTAGACAGATGAAGAAACAAGACAACATGAACCAGATATACCACACTTAAAGATAATAAAAATGAACCCAGAGACATTCAAGATACTTTAATTACCTGAAATAGACTTTAAACAACTATTTATAATATGCACACAAAAATTGAAAGCTGAAATTAAACATTTCAGAAAAAAAAAAAATGCACTCTAAAAAAAGTGACATTTAAGATTTGAAAAACAACTAGAAAATCTGGAAATAAAGCATAACATGAAAACCAAAGAACTCAAAGGCAATTTAGATATATCTAAAGAGAGCATTACTGGAGGTTGGTTAGAAGAAACTGTGATGAATGACAAAAAAATAGAAGAACATAAAAGAGAGAAGTGAGAATAAGAAGATAATAAACATCCTATATAATAAAAGCCTAATATGCTAAGTGTCCGGTTGTCCAGTCCTCCATTCAACCAATCAAAGCATAATATGCTCATGATATGCTAAGGCTGCTCAACCGCTTGCTATAATGTGCACTGACCACCAGGGGACAGACAGTTGACCGGTTGACCAGTTGCTATCATGTCCACTGACCACCAAGGGGCAGATGCTACAACCAGTAGGTTAGCTTGCTGCTGGGGTCTGGCCAATCAGGACTGAGTGAGATGGACCAGACATGCCCTTGATCCCTCCCATACCCCCTCCCTAGCTGGTCAACCTCCTGTGTCTCTCCCCAGCCCTGATCGTGCACTGATAGGGTCCCTTGGCCTAGCTTGCACCCTCTCGCAAACGGGGCTGAGGGACCATCCCCCCAAGTGCACAAATTTTGTGCCCCAGGCCTCTAGTATAATATGAAGTGAGAAGAGTTCCACAAGGTAAGAAAAGAATGGCAGAAAAACAATTTGAATAATGGCTTATAGAATTGGTGAAAGACACTGATTCTCACACTTAAGGAGCTCAACAGGTCTCAAGCAGAATAAATAAAAAGCAATCAACATTTAGACTGATCACAATGACATTGCAGGAGAAAAGAAAAAAAATAGCATTAACCTTAAAGAAAAAAAAAATAAAGAAAGATCAACTTCAATAGAGCAACAATAAGATGGGTGAATGGCTTCTCAACAATAATGAAAGCTAGAAGAGGTTGAAATTATAGTGTTAATGTGTTGGTTAAAAAAAGTGAACGCTGTTAGAATCATATACTCAGCAAATTTATACCTAAATAATTGAAGTGAAATAAAGACATTATCAGACAAGCAAAAACTAAGGGAACATGACAAAAACAGACTCACTTAAGGAAACACTAACAGGTCTTCATAAAACAAAGGAAATGCCACAGATGGAAAGGTTGGAGAAGCAATTAAAAGCAATTAAAATGGTAAGTGTGTGGTTAAATATAAATAAATATTGACTTTATCAAACAACAATAACAATGTCTTCTGCAGCTCAGAATGTTTATAGAACTAAAATGAACAAAACAATCTATAATAATAAAAGTATAATATGCTAATTAGACCGAACAGCCGAATGACCTTCCAGACGTTATTCCGGATGTCTTTCCTGACAGCAGGGGCCGAGGCAGAGGTGGTTACGGGCTATCAGGCAGGCAGGCGAGCAGTTAGGGGCTATCAGGCAGTCAGGCAGAGGGGTTAGGGGTGATCAGGCAGGCAGGCAGAGGGGTTAGGGGCGATCAGGCAGGCAGGCAGAGTGGTTGTGATGATCAGGCAGGCAGAGTGGTTAGGGGTGATGAGGTGGTTAGGAACCAGCAGTCCCGGATTGTGAGAGGGATGTCCAAGTGCTGTTTTAGGCCTGATCCTGCAGTTGGACATCCCCCAAGGGGTCCCAGATGTGAGAGGGTGCAGGCTGAGTTGAGGGACGCCCCCCCCCCCACATGAATTTTGTGCACCGGGCCTCTAGTATCATATAAATAAAGAGGGTTGAAAGTAAATTTTTTCATTGTCCAGGAGAAAGATAAAAATATTTGATATTAAGCTTTGATGAATATACTACATAACTTTCTGTACATTCATTGTACAAATAGAAAAGGAATGTTTAACTTCCAAATTTATTGAGGAATATCTTATATAATAAAAGGGTAATATGCAAATTGACCCTAATGGCAGAATGACTGGTCACTATGATGCGCACTGAC